TCCATGACAAACGTGAAGGAAAAACCCTCGACAAGAAACAGGCTGTGGATGTGAAGCGGTCTGTTGTCGGTGGCATGGTCGGGCTCGTGGGAATCGCTGTTTAGAGCTCTCATATCCGTGCAAATGTGCGAGTAAGCATACTGGAATATGGCAAAAAAAAATTCTCACCACTGCAGCAATGGGCAGCCAACAACAATGAACCTTTGAGACAAAGCCCATCCATCACCAGAGCACATCACAGGGGCTATTTTAAATGTCTTTTATATTTATGTTAGATTAGATTGACCTTTTAGCACTTTTTTAGACACTTCATGTTATATCTAGCCAGAAGTCTGTTTCTGTCATGTTCACAGAGTAATGATGAAAATGAGCCTGCCGTATTAGCTGAACTAGAGACATAGAACTTGTACTTAGGAAGGACATGAAAAGAAAATGATAAAGAAAGAAGGATGCTAGATTACTCTACAGCAAGACTATTTTAATGGTCTTTTCTGCAATCTAATTGAGGTCTATTTCGCATAAGTGCATTTCCTCCTTTATTAATAACGACATGCTTTATTGGGTAATAAACCCAGAGATCCATCTGGTCTTTGCCAAGGAGCTTCTTCGAATCAATTAGAGGACATTTAAATATAATCACTATCCACTCCTATCAGTCCAGGGCCATGACAGCTATCTACTCGGACACTGAATGTGATCTGAAAGGTTCTTTGTTTTTCACTTTAAGCCATATTCCCAGTGGAAAATAATCATTTAGTTCAAAACACATTTAGCATAATAAGCTGTGGATTTTGCTGAATTAACTCTACAATGAACTCCCCTTTCATAACTCTAAAACAGAGTTTACCAGCCCTACAATGTGACTAAGCGATGCATGCAGAAACTAAAAATCAAGGCTAATGAATTAACCTCGGATTACTCTTGGGTTCTAAAATGCTAGTGGGGTAGTCAAACAAGAGGACAGCATTTTTACCAGAAACCAGAATTTCCTAGAGGGGCAAATGTTACTTAAAATATTACTCAAATGTTGAAATGGGTTCAGTTTAATGCAGCTATAACATATTAAGATTAATGTTATGAGACCATCTAAGCTTCAATTATCCAAAAATACTCTTGGACAACAGTAAACAATGATTTAATCAAATACACAATTAATCTGGCGTTGAACAGGTGGTAGTCAATTTAGGAAACATTAGTTACTGATTTAACTAAGGTCTAATTTACTCTACCTGTACGTTTACCCAGCTGCATAAGTGCAAAGAACCCATTCTTATCAGTGCTACTACCACCCTCTAACGATCAGGAAAGAAAACCACACACTAGTGAGCAGGGTGGGAGACAGTGAATGGTGAGACAAAACATATAATAAATGCATAATAAACCACATAATATAGATATGTTCAAATTGTTTTGTATGACCTTATGCACATGAAACGTTTGAAGTGAAACATAAAAGAACAAGCCAATAATGGTGAATTTTTAAAACATGAACGCTGTCACATTTCTCATATTTAGTCCTTTGCACAAAACATGTAATATCCTCACAAACAGTATTTTAACTGTAGTCTTATCAGTTCAAAGGCAACTTAGTTTCCTATTTCCAGTTCAAACTAGGGGCAGTATCAACCTTCCTCTGGTCTCACACAGACAGACAATAGCACACACTATTTACAATCACCTGTGTGTATCTTAGTGGACCCCCATTATACGCTTCTCCTTACATATTGTGACAATGTTGTCTTTGTCAAAGGGTGGAAAAGTGGGCCATCTGTAGGTAACCCTAATTTTTAATTGTTTTCAAACTGTTAGAAAAAAAAAACAGCCAGACTGTTGTGTATTTATTACAGGCTGTAATGTGACAGCCTGTTTGAGCTGCCACCAGAAGATGTGATAAGGTTAAATTAATCAGATATAATGAAACAGTTAGCTCTTTTGTTGTAGAGCTGCGAGGGTGATGTTTAAGCTGTCTGACCCCATATGATGGTAGCTCATGCTCTGATCACTCCATGCTGTGGATCGATGTCATTAATGCCTATGTTGCTAATGAATTAACAAAGGGCATCAAATGTAACGGTAGCCCTCTGCTATGTTATGCTCGTCAGTCGTGTCCGGAGTACTGCCTCATGTGCAGATGCTTCAGACAACTGCAATGAACCTACATTTCATGATGAATAAAGCAATGCATGTTTGTGCTCTTTTCTGAATGAAGTTAATACAGTATTGTTTCCAGAACAGATACTGAACATATGTGCATTGGAAATTAATGAGCAGCAGAATAATGCATTATGTTATTCTCTTTACCTGCTTGAGACATGTCTCTGGATTAAAAAAAAAAACACTAAGAATTACTATGAAGCAGGCCATTGTGATTTTCTATTATAGTAAGTATAATGTTTACTAGAATACACATTATAATAAGACCAAATATTTATGCATAACACACTGTTATATTTTTCCTTCTCATAAGGTCAATAAAAAGTACAAAATGTCAAATATCCAAATTTCAAATTTAAGATCTGTTGACATCTTACCATAAAAAACAGAGCAGAAAAAACTGACCATTGAGCTTTTGTAGTATGTAATTCTTTAAAACACACTAAAATGTATTTATATACTTTACATATTTTACCTTTTATTTTTGTACAGAATTAATACAAAAATGCAGTAACATGTCAGTGATCTGCATGTGTCGTAAGGTCTGCATACAGGTTTGCATATTGCCCCCTGAAGTAATACTCATTTTTTGAGTCTGATGCATTATGCACACATTTCTGTGTGCAACAGCTCTATAGCTTAATTTTGGCATCCCGGGCCTCCATGGCTTTAGTGGCAACCTCAGCTCTATCCCGGAGTACCTTGGCTTGCTCAGTTTCTTGTGTCTGGATGTTCCGGAGAAGAAAGTGACTGATGAAAAGCTTCAAGCCTTCCCGAAGCATTCCCAGCTTGGGAATTCCAGAGATCCTGGCACACAATGGTAGACACACAGGCAGATATTGACACACTAGACCACACACAAGCAATTTTAGATGGATGACAGCACATCTGGTCTCAGGATGTCCCGCACATCTTGTCATTTTAAAAACTTGCACTGACAAATAAATATTTAAGCGATAATGTAAGAAATG